AGGGCTCGAGAGAGCGTTGCCAGTCTTTTAAGAATTGGTACGCTCTTTTCTTGAAGGACCCTAAGTGGAATTGGTTCGGAAATACTTCAGTGGGCAGCTGGTTCCACATGTTCACAGCAAGTGGTAAGTGCGCATCTAAAGAAAATAGCGAAGTTCGAGACCACGGCCTCAGTGTTGAGAATCTTTTAGCTAACATTGCTATCAAAACTTAAACACGAATATAACCTCGCTTTTTATTTAAAACCAAAACTATTTACAACATAAAACAAAGTTTTATGCGACATTGTACTGTAATCTGATATTTCATAGAACTGAAGTTTTTAATTTCAAAGAAAAGCAGAATTGAAATTGCAGCTAGGTAAATTGCCTTCCTACCTTTGACAATGCGCAAGCATTTGTCCAGGGCGGTAACTACTTGTAATTACATCCGTTCGAGACGATCCCCTTCACGCCACCTTTATAGCGATGTAGTCAGTGGGATAGGACCAGTGATAAGTTATGTAGCCATTCAAGTATTTTTTTTTAAGCTTAGATAGTTCGGTACGGTCCAGACTTAACTGGCCAGTAAAACACAGAAATGTACCTTATTTACATCATCTAATGTATAAAATTCTCGTGTCACAATGTTCGTTACCATACTCCTCCGAAACGGCTTGACCGATTCTCATGAATTTATTTATGCATATTCAGTAAGTCTGAGAATCGGCTCTTGCAAACCCCTAAGTGGTAAGGGGTGTCCACCTCAACTTTTTTTTAATATATTAGACAATTTGTTTTTGTTTTTATTTTAGAAAGTTATACTTATTTAGGCGCGTTATGAAAAATTGATGAGAGTGACATTTTACGATGCGCGCGCACCTGAGACGCAAAGTTGTCAGTGTGATTATAGCGTGCGCGAGCGAGATGGGAATAAGACAATCTACAAGTAAAAAGAAATAGAATATGCGTGAAGTTAGCAGCTATGCCAAGAATTTTGAATGAAAATAATGACATTTACCTTTTAAACAAATAAAGGAGTTTTAATTATTTTTTCAAAGAAATTTTGCAATGCTTTTTCACAAAGACCTATTGTTACTTAGTTAAAAGGTTATGAAACATACGTAGTTATTAAATTGAATGAATAATATAGTAAAATAATAAATAATAATAATAATCATTATTAATATTAATTAATAATTGAATAATATACTAAATATTAAATATTATTAATTATTTAATATTTAAAAAAAATAAAGAAAGCCAAAGAAGTATAACTTCTTACGCGCGTACATAAGTACACGCACCCTTTGTTTTCATTATACAGCATACAAAAATACATACAATCCTTAATTGTCACCCCTTTACGATCAATCCCTATTTTATAATATAGTAGATAGTTATTTTTATTGAACTTAAAAAATGTTTGCTAGAAATAATATACATGGCAAAACGACGTTTGCCATATAAACCAGCTAGTATATTCTATAATAAGATGAATAAGCAAGTTCTATCTAAAAAGTAGCTACTACGAGCTAAGAGAACGCTTGCGATGTACTTAATAAATTTACTTGTCCAAGACAGACGGCAGTACTCACATGTGCCTGATGGGTGCGTCAGGAGGTGACATCGTCTGTCATTACTATATATGTCCACTAGGACTAACCTTCTAAAAAGGGCACATATTTTCCGATATATTACGTTATTCAACGAATTACACAGGAGGTCCTATTTTATTATCCGTTGAGTGAATTGACAATAGTTCTAATATTTGTTAGTGCCTATAATTATATTTTTTAATGATTTTGTAGATTTTCTTGAAATTGTTTTTCTATAGTTTGTTTTGAAACTTACTATATAAATAAATTTACAACTATTTAACATAATTAAATAGTTGTAAATTTATAATAATACATAACTTCAATCCGGTCAAAATAGTGTTTTATTAATTGTTTTTCTAATTAATTTGTTGTTTGTTTTTGTTTTGTGTGGAATATTTTATTGCATATGTATTCTTGTTGCTTTAGATCTAGTTGATTGTATACTTAATATCTTAAATGCTTAATAAGTTTTAATCAAAAGACCATTTAAAAGATAATGCAAAGATTCAGGTTAATATAAATTAAGTCAATTTTTTACTGACGTTTAACTTAAATTCTATTCTATAAATAATTAAAAAAACATCGCTATGAAGCATGGATTTCGTAAGAATCATATGAAAGAGAATTGTCAAGTAGGAAAGGCTTTGAAACGTGGGCGGGAATAGTGCTTTTGACGAATACCGGCGGTTGACCGTTGTGAGCTACGAACACGACAATAATGCTTCGCTGTACGCTACGCGTGACATACTGGTCAAGAGAATACTCACTACTTAACACACAAACATAAGTATTAATCAATGTTTGTTTTGTTGCAGGATATATTTCATATATATATGTCACCGGAATATAACAAAATCCGCAAGTTTATAAATTTCCCATCATTTTATTTATCAATTTGCGACGTCTCGTGGTAAATTTTTAAACTAACGGATATCCATTCGTAAAAATTCGTAAATCTCTCGGTGCTCTTTTAAAATAGCAAATCAAATAATAAAAAATACAAAAATAGACTGACAATATATAAGTACAGTGTCAACTTATAACGAATTTCAAGGGACCGAGCATTTTTTTCGTTATAGAGTGTTTTCGTTTTGGAAAGGAAAAGAAAAAAAACTTTAGAGGTGTCAAGGGACACCCGGATGGAACGAAATTCCTTTCGATGAATTTATATGTTAATTGGTATCATAACAGTATGACAGATTTTCTCGACACCAATCTTACGACGAAAAAAAAGCCAACATCACGAGGTGTTGTTCCCAGGCGGTCACCCATCCAAGTACTGACCTCGCCCGACGTTGCTTAACTACGGTGATCGGACGAGCACCGATGTATTACAATAGCAAATAGCAAAAAAGTGTCGTGACAACTTTTCGTAAGAATTTTTTCCGTACAACAACGTTTACAACGCGCGATAAGGAACTTCGTTCCAATAAACAAATTTAACCAATTACAATAATTTATATATATAATAGATAGGTGACGATGGTGCTTTTAGTAACTGAGACCAAAATTCCCTACAGACAATGTAATCTAAGAATAAATGGCACATGGCAATGAACTTTACAAAACATCTTTCTTAGCAATTGCAATTCTTAGCACCTCAATAGCTTAGTTTTGTAAGCTGATTATAGAAACAATTACACTTAAGTATGTTGTTGATGTCTACATATGAAAATATTACTTCCTTATAGAGAGATGCTTTTGCCTTATAAAGAGTGAATTTATGTATGGGCTTTGTGTTAAACCAAACAAATTAACTCCTGTTTCGTTATAGGGAGTGTTTATAACGAATGACGTTATAAAGAGTGTATACTGTATTAAAATGGAAGTAAGTAATGAGTAATTGCGTGAGAACTTAAACTATACTAATAACCTTTTGTAGCTGTATGTATCGGTCAAGGTGGGGTTACATAAATTCAATTTAGGCGAGAGAGGCCTACAAATTGGCCCGTTGGTATTGGACGGTAAGCACAGGTAACTCTTTGAAGCCTGAATATCCTGAATCACTATTTAGACACATCAAAGCTACATCTACAGTTTTCGATTAAGCTTTTTGATTTTAAATTCCTCTAGACTCTAGAGCTTTATTGAAGTGTCTTAATGGAAGTCAAACGGTACTGAATTTAGATCAGGATTAAATATAAGGAGACATTATTTATACTTTAAATATCTCAGGCTTGTTATTATACCTTCATAAGCTTAGGAAGAATATAAGGATGTATATATATTTAATCGTTTTTAATTACTATATGAGGGAAATATATTATCGTGATGAAATTTGGAACATTAGATTTATCAAATAGTTTGTGTAAAATTTTTAGGTGAAATTACGACAAAAGATTCTTTAACTAATAGTACGTTTGTAAGATTAAGTTCTTTAGGTATTTAAACAAAACAATTTTTTACCGGATTGAAGTTATGTATTATTATAAACTTATAATTATTCTACATAATTAAAAAAATTCCGACGTTTCCCGTGCTTTACAGCGTGCGTGGTCACGGTGACTGAAGACAAAAGGTGTTGGATGTCAAAAAGTATCACAGCTGTAGAAAAAGTTTTATTATCTGTATTTACTTATTGTATTTATTTGTTTTTTTCTATGTAAAATCTTTTTAATTATGTAAAATAATTAGGGATGCATCGATACGCTTTTTTGCCGATACGATACCGATGCCGATTCACTTATAGGAATATCGTCGATACCGATACCGATACCGATACCAACGCTTATTGAATTAAAATTAAATTAAGGTAGAATGTATAAGTTAAGTTAAAGTGGCAAAGATAGTTGATTCGAGTAAAAATTTTGGTCTACTAATCAATCCAACAAGAGTTTTTCGTACTAACTACTAACTGACGTGAGACTGATCGTAAATTATCGTGATTCATTTGCACTTTTTATTTTTCATGTAGACTTTTTTTAGTTTATATGTAATATGTATTTTTGCTCAATTTTTATATTGTAATTCAACAAAGTGTTAATAAATAAACAGAGTTTAGCGAAATAAAATACATATTTGTGTATACAAATAATGATGCTTTGTCCCCAAGCGAATGATAGAGACAACAAACTGAATAAAACGCGGGGATTTCTCGGGCAACAATAGTCCGTGGCTCGTTTGCAACAAACTAGATCATACAAAATGCGCGTGTACATTATTTTTTTAAAGCGTGAAATTGGAAAAGTATCGGTGAATCGGCAATGAAAATATCGCCGATGCCGATATATCGGCAAACCCAAAGTATCGCCGATATATCGGTATCGGCATCGGTATCGAATGCATCCCTAAAAATAATTATAAGTTTATAATAATACATAACTTCAATCCGGTAAAAAAGTCTTTTCTTTAAATGTGTAAAAGTTCTTTAGTTATGTTAGTTTATGAAAAAAAAAAAAAATAAATATTTATTAGCAATTAATTTTACATTGTGACATCTGCTTCAGCATACATTATCCTCATGGAATTGGTATATCCGGATCCTTGTCTCCAACCTGAGATAATGATAAGAGGATCTCCAACTCGGACAAAACCTCTCTCCATTGCCCAAGTGGTACAAAATGTTACACGTTTGTTGAGATCTACGTGCCAATCTATGTCTGGTGTTCCTGTTAAATTATAGTTTTATTATAATTGAATTGTAACCTTACTTATGATATATACTATATATACTATGCACAGTTTCAACGACAGTATTCAAATCTTTTCATTAATGAACTTCAGTATGAGTCAGGAAGAGACGAATACCTGAATTGAAATTTTGATTAATGAATAAGTCATTTGCTTTTTTTATAGAATAGAGGGCAAACGGGCAGGAGGCTAACCTGACGTTAAGGGCGAGGCACCACTATTGCGTTGCGTTGCGTCGACGCACGACGTCGTGTCGCAAGAGGACAGACACAAACGTGTACTTTTGTTGATTTTATTACGCCACCGCCGAATTAAACTTAGAAACCATAGAAGATTCTGGATATCTCCTCTGATAGCATTAAGAAATAGTGATCATCCTTCCCCCTGCTTCGTCTCTTGTCCTTCGATCCGTTTAAACGTCGCGCGCGACGACGCAACGCAGTAGTGGGGCCTCGCTCTAAGTGATACCGCTGCCCATGAACACTATTAATGCCAGAGGGCTAGCGAGTGTTTTGCCTGACTTTAGGATTTGGTATACTCTTTTCTTGAAGGACCTTAATTCGAATTGGTTCGGCAATATTTCAGTGGGTAGCTCGGGTCCACACGGTGGTGCGCTGCAAAAACTGCCTTAAATTACCTAATATGAAACATGCGTGAACCCGCACACCAAGCTAAAATCTCGTAAACCCAATTTAGCTCTTACGTCGTAAAGTTAAAATTTTGGGTCAAAAGATTTAATTACACATTTTCACTAGTATTTAATAAAGCAATTTGCTTGTTTAGACCTATTCCCTCATAATTAGCGTACAATACATAGTACAGAGAAACTGTATATAATGATCCAATCTCAATGTAGTTCAACTCGCAGCGCTGATATCGCAGATATGAACGTAGGTAGTATGTCATCTCAAAATTGAAATAAACTCAAACGCATTTTCAATTTGTGGGGTAGTACTTCTGGAAAGCTTGTAAAGCTTTTCATATGACGTTATATACTATTACCTTCATATATCAACGGCATTATTCCTCTCCACAAATGCATCTGTCTTGCAATCGGGCCGTATCTTGTGACAGCGATAATAGGGCACCTGGGTCGGAATTTCGAGACGACTTGGGCCGATTTCCCTGATGATGTCACAACAATAATGGCTGCGGCAATCGAGCGCTGAGCTGCTAACACCGCCGCTATAGCTGTACCAGTTGCTTGATCGCAAGGTATTGGTGTCTGTTAACAATTAATTAGGTTTCGTATGAGATAACATTTTTGGCTATGAGGCAAACGGGCAGGAGGCTCATCTGATGTTAAGTGATAACTGATACCGCCGCCCATGGACATTGCCAGAAGGCTCGCAAGTGCGTTGCCGGGCTTTTAAGAATTGGTACGCTCTTTTCTTGAAGGACCCAAGTCGAATTGGTTCGGAAATACTTCAGTGGGCAGCTGGTTCCACATAGTGGTGGTGCGCGGCAAAAACTGCCATAGAAATCGCTCAGTTGTGGAACGACGGACGTCGAGGTGATACGGGTGGTATTTTGTATTTTGCCTTGACGTCCGATAATGAAACTCAGCTGCAGATATTAGACCAAACAACTCCTCTGAACACTCTCCATGGTAAATGCGGTAGAATATGCAAAGTTATCTACGCAACGCCAAGGGATCAAGCCGCACGGTAAGTGATTTGGTCGTCACGATTCGAACCGCTCTTCGTTGAATACAGTCATACTATTTATTGTTTTCTTCTTTGAAAAATAAGCTGCCAGTCAAGGTGTTACCGAACCGATAAGGCCTTCAAGAAAATAGCGCACCATTTCCTCAAAAGACGGCGACACACTTGCAAGTCTCCCGGCGTTAGTTATGTTATGTCCAAAGGCGGCGGTTATTTTGAAGACTTAGCTATCTTCAAAATAACCTTGTTTGTCTTGTTTCATTAAAGAAATCTCACCTATACAAGTACTGGGTTGAACACACTTCAATGTGAACAAAAAGCAAAATTATAATTTCTATTTATTGATCTTGTATTTTTAAAATAAATTTATTTTTTTTTTTTTTTATGTAATAGGAGGCAAACGGGCAGGAGGCTCACCTGATGTTAAGTGATACCGCCGCCCATGGACACTCACAATGCCAGAAGGCTCGCAAGTGCGTTGCCGGCCTTTCAGGAATTGGTACGCTCTTTTCTTGAAGGACCCTAAGTCGAATTGGTTCGGAAATACTTCTGTGGGCAGCTGGTTCCACATAGTGGTGGTGCGCGGCAAAAACTGCCTTAGAAAACGCTCTGTTGTGGAACGACGGACGTCGAGGTGATACGGATGGTATTTTGTATTTTGCCTTGACGTCCGATGATGAAACTCAGCTGCAGGTATTAGACCGAACAACTCCTCTGAACACTCTCCATGGTAAATGCGGTAGAAGATGCAGAGAGATCCCACATCTCTACGCAACGCCAAGGGATCAAGCCGCACGGAAAGTGACTGGTCGTCGACGATTCGAACCGCTCTTCGTTGAATACGGTCAAGTGGAAGGAGCTGGTACTGGGGAGCTCCCGCCCAGAGGTGAGAGCAGTACTCCATATGGGGCCGAATTTGCGCTTTATATAGTTGCAAGCGGTGGCCCGGAGTGAAGTACCGTCTCGCCTTGCTGAGCACACCAAGCTTTTTGGAGGCTAATTTAGCCTTTCCTTCCAGATGACCGCGAAACTGAACGTTATTCGATATGTCAACGCCCAGTATTCCGATGCTAGCTGAGGCTTTAAGGAGAGTGTCTTCAAAGAGGGGAGTAGCGACAAAGGGAGTTTTTTTAGCGGAAAACGCGCATACTTGTGTCTTCTTGGGGTTAAATTGGACTAGATTTAGTCTACCCCAGTCCGAGACTCCACGTAGAAGAGTTTCGACTTCAGACACAAGTTTGTTCCGGTACTCATCGACAACAGCCCGAGAGATACCTGCCCGGCCAGTGTAAAAAGTATCCCCAGTGCTGTCGTCCGCATAGCAATGAATGTTGCTAAGCTGCAACATATCATTGATATGCAGAATAAACAGGGTCGGGGATAGGACACAGCCTTGTGGGACACCAGCATTCACAGGTTTCAGGTCGGAGCATGCTCCGTCGATGACGACTTTGATGCTCCGATCAGCGAGAAAGCTGGAAATCCAGTTGCATAATTTCTCAGGGAGCCCATAGGCTGGAAGCTTCGAGAGCAGTGCTCTGTGCCACACCCAATCGAAGGCTTTCGCTATGTCCAAACTTACCGCCAGCGCCTCCCCTTGGACTCAATTGCCTCTGCCCACCTATGTGTAAGGTATACAAGGAGGTCACCAGCCGAGCGACCACGACGGAAGCCGTACTGAGAATCGCTAATCAGCTGGTGGCCCTCTAGATACCTCAAGAGCTGGCTGTTAATAATGGTTTCCATTATTTTGGAGAACAAGGAGGTTATAGCTATTGGGCGATAGTTGGACGGATCAGAGCGATCGCCTTTTTTAGGGATCGGATGTATCGAAGCGATCTTCCAGCACTTCGGAACAGTGCCGAGCGTGTAAAGGTACCGGAAAAGGCGCGTTAGGACCGGAGCCAACTCAGGAGCACAAGTACGCAGCACAATTGGAGGGATGCCATCAGGCCCGCTCGACTTATGGATGTCCAAGGAAGACAAAGCTTTACGGATAGCACGTTGCCGGAATATAACTTCGGGCATCGTAGTATCACACCGCAATAATGTCGGTGGTTCCTTCCCTTGATCATCCAAAGTGGAGTTCGACGCAAAGAGACAGCCTAGAAGATCGGCCTTCTCTTTCGCGGTATGGGCAAGTGAGTCATCCTCCCTATGCAGTGGTGGAATTGAGGGCTGACAGAAATTCCCTTGGACAGCTTTGGCAAGAGACCAGAAGGCTCGAGTTCCCGAAGGGAGGTGGGCCAATTTCTCACCAAATCTGGCAATGTGCTCTGACTTTGCTTTAGCGATTTCTCGCTTGAAAGACCTGGAGGCTGAATTGTATGCTTTTTTACGTTCGCCGATAGTCACATCACAGGATGTCACCGCTTCTGCCCAGGCTTTAAAGCATTCACGCTTACGGCGCAAAGCCGCTTTGCAGGAACGCCTAAACCAAGGCTGGGACTTGCCACCGACCGGCACCGCAGAGAATGGAATAAAGAGTTCCATACCCTGCAGGACCACCTCGGCGACAGAGTCAGCGACGGCATCTGGAGTACTCGACGAAAAGCAAATGGGCCCCCAAGGGTAGGACGCAAAAAAGACCGCATCCCATCCCAATCTGCTGACTTATAGTGCCACACGCGGCGACAGCCCGTGAAGCTAGGCCGAAGAAGGCGCGTGAACGGCACAATGCTTCGGACCACACAATGATCTGATGAACCCAATGGCGGTTCAACAGAGACTTGGTAGTTCTCCGGATGTGAAGTCAGCAGAAGGTCCAACAAAGAGGGAAACGATATTCGATAACGATTCATCAACCATCGACTAGTGACTAATCAAGACGCGGCGGTATTGATTTTTCATGAGACATAAGATAATATCCTGCTAAAAATCCTATAATATAAAAGCTAAAAAGAAAAAAAACTATCTGTCTAATTACAAAATCCTATGTGGAACCTATTCGGTGTAAATTATTTGACACGTCTATCATCCAGATTACTCCACGGACAGCACAGCTATGCTTAAAAATACAGAAAAAATGAAACGCTAGTAAAATAAGCACGAGACAGAAATCTGTAGAGGCAAATCATTCGCGTCAGATCCTACAGCTACGATACTCAGATTTGAATTACCGACCCAGACACAATATATAAGACACAATATATATTTTTACACAATATATAAAAGATCCAAACAACTTAATACTTAAACAAAAATATAATAAAACCAGAAATTATGTCAATAAATTAATAAATAAAACTAAAAATAAAACACTTAGAACCAATATAGAAGCTAATAAAAACAATCTAAAAAATCTATGGGATATATTAAACCGATTAACAGGAAAAATTAAAACATCCATTGACGTAGCTATACAAAACTCATTTGAAAATCAAAATGTTACGTGTAAATATATTGCAAATAATTTTGCAACTACCTTCCACAATAGTATCAGTAATGTTGCAACCAACTGTGTAAATCCACTGTTGGATACAAGTTTATACCGGCGAGCAGAAAATATTAGTATGAGATTTCAGTCAGCAGACCCTAAATCTGTTGCAAAGATAATAAAATCATTAAACGACAAAAAATCTCCAGGCGCAGATAGAATACGAACTATAGACATTAAAATGTTATGTAATAAAATAAACGTAGCCATAGCTAATCTTATTAACACGAGCATTTACACTGGACAATATCCTAATTTATTAAAAACAGGTATAGTACGACCAATATACAAAAATGGTAGCAAAAAAAACTACAATAATTATCGTCCAATAACTATACTGCCAACAATCAACAAAATAATTGAAAAATACATATGTGGACAAATTCAAAGTTATTATAAAAAACACAATATTCTTTCTAACAAACAATACGGATTTCAACCAAATAAAAACACCACACAATTACTATCCGCATTCACAGATCATATTTATAAGCACTTAAATAAAAAGGATCATGTCCTGGTAGTGTTTATTGATTATAGCAAGGCATTCGACACATTAAGGCACAGCGTAATCCTACAAAACCTAAATGACTGCGGAGTACGAGGAAACCTGCTCAAGTGGTGTGAAAACTATCTGCAAGATAGAACTTATCGTGTTAAAGTGTGCAACGAAGAAAGTTTCCCAATATCCATAACAGAAGGTACGGCTCAGGGCTCAGTTATTGGACCCTTGCATTACCTTAACTACGTTAACACATTACCTAACATAATAAAATATTGCCAGATATTCCAATTTGCAGACGATACATGCCTAGTAGCCGCTGGGGCTAACATACAAGAAGCAGAAACAAAGCTACAATCTGATTTCGATACATTGGCTAAATGGTCCCACGACGTGGGACTTGTACTAAATCCGAATAAAACAAAGTTCATGCATATCCGATCCAGTCACAATCTAAGCGCACGTACACCCCACTTAATCTTACACAACCACATTTGTGCACATTCCTATAACTCGTACCCCATCAACTGTAACTGCAACGCCTTAGAATTAGTTCATAACCACAAATACCTGGGGCTTACAATAGATGACCGAATGTCTTGGAAAATGCACATTAATTCTGTCCGTGAAAGGCTAAGAGCGATACTTGCCAAATTCACTATAATAAAAAATAAAATACCTCTCAATACTCTGCTACTGCTATACAAAGCACTAGCAGAATCTATTATAACATATGGACTTTCAAGCTATGGGAGAACATGCAAAACCTATCTTAATCAAATATTTTCATTACAAATACGTATTTTAAAAGCAATTGCTCCTTACAAAATAAAATCACAATATAAAGAAGACTATAGAAAGCTATTTGCATTTTTCAAAATTATACCTATACAAGAGAAAGTGCAGCTAGCATTATTAAATGAAAACTACTTTACAGACAATTACCTTAAAACAACTAAAACTCATTATCACTATACAACACGTAGAAAATTAAAAAACGAATTTCTTTTACCAAAATACAATAATTTATATGGGAAAAAAACATTAGACTATATTATTCCAAATCTATTAAACTCTTTACCGGCTGCGCTATTTGCTAATGTAACAGGAAACAATATCAAATTTAAATTAAAAAATTACTTTATAAGTCAAACAATTACAAATTATGCATAACTAAAAGTAGGACGTCGTCATTTAGTTCATGTTCGAATATGTAAATTCGAATACACATCCTGTATTCGAATGAGAATTTCTCGTCAAGAACAGGTTTCTTGCATCGGCTGTGGAGCGTCATTGTTTCAATTGGTATATGTTGTTCGTGCAATCTTTATGGTTTATTGGTGGGGGTGTTATATTGTATAGTGTGTCACTGGCCTGAGTGTGTAATAGGTTAATTATTTAAATATTTTCGACGACCTGGTGGACGGAAAAACTGTGTCCAGTTTGTGTTTCCACCACGCCAACTTTTTTCTATTTAGGATGATGTATAGAATAAATAAATAAAAAAAAAAATAAAGACAGACAGACAAAAAAACAAATTACCAAATTCATTACCTGTCCATCCGTTTTTTGATTACGTTTATAATTAACTAGTCCTAAAAATCAATAAAATATTACCAACCAACATATTCTGAAAATTAAAACTTTTTATTTTTAATAATGAATCATTGTATCCCATTACGTACGTTAGTGTATAATTGCAAATTTACAGCAAAATCTCAATACACACATGGAACAATATAAATAACGTTATTTCGTACGCTTAATGCTTATTTATGTGTTCACAAGTAATTTATTTTTGATGCTCTTTGTGTTCGGCCGCTGATAAAAGAGAATCCGGAAATAATGACATCAAAGATGGAGTGTTATTGGATTAAAATCGATACTAAAATAATATTTGTATTGAGTGAATGGTATTACTTGTGGGTGCTTTAAGTTAAACCAACTTTTTTTACCATCATTTAAGCTACAACTAAATTATTATTATTATTTGTACTGGATGACCCATTACCTATGTTATTTTATGTCGAATTATATTTAAAAAAAAACTTGGCGATTGAAAAGAGTGACGGAGAGTTTATTGCCAGTTCTTGTCTTCTTTTCTACGCCCTTGATTTGAGAACTGGCAGTAAATGTAAAATTAGAAGCATTAAATATATTTCTTTTTTGACGTTCATAATTAGTGTGTTACCTATATGAATAAATGATTTTGACTTGACTTGATTATTTAAATATTAAGACCAAGACGATTTCAATTGTTTTGTGGTGTGGTATAAATACAGAATATAAATAAATTATTTAAATACCTTATCAACAAAATCATGAAACAATTGCTTCGACCATATGCATGCTTCGGCCTCCTTACAGGCGGCAGCCAGACACACAACTGTGTCTATGGGATACTCTCCAACAGCTGTCTCAGCTGAAAGTACCAGGGCATCAGCACCGTCGAGGATACAGTTTGCGATATCTAACAATTCCGATCTAAGGGGCACTCTCTTGTTTCGCATACTGCTTAGCAGGTGAGCGCTTATGCAGACTGGTATGTTTGCCTGGAAATGTATTAATTCTAAAGTAATTTACAAATTGAGAAAAAAATTCCAACGCTTGGTTAGTCATACTATCGACATTAAAGAATTAAGTTTTAATAGCATCTTTAAAAATCAAATATATAAAATTCTCCTGTTAGGTCTGCGAATCGGAAAACATCTATTTTTCATCCCCTTAATATTAAGGGTGGTTCACCCCTAATTTTTAATTTTATTTTTTTGACAATTCTTTTATACAACATACGTACAGTACAACCCTTAATTTTCACCCCTCTACGTTCAACCCCTATTTTATCATAGTAGATAGTTGCTTTTATTAAACAAACAAAAAGTTTCCTAGAAATAATATACATGGCAAAACAACGTTTGCCGGGTCAATAACATAACACATACCTTATTAGCACGCGCTATCATATTTTTTTGAGCAACCACCAATTTTTTCGGCGTTATGTCCGATCCTAATTCTTGTCTCGTTATCATGATACCGTTAACTTCCTAAAATGAAATTAACTTTAATAATAAATAAATTATTTAATTTATTTACACTTCGTTACCTTCAACATAGAAACAAAAAACAGATTACATAAATTATTAGGCAACGGGTAGCTTCCAGGTAAACCTATGAAAAAAGAAAAAAGAAAACTTAGGGGTACAAAAAGTGCCTAATTAAATTAACAAAATTTAAAATTAAATTTAAGTAATGTGCACGGTTAACCAAAAAAAAACTATTTTAAAAATTTGTAATCTGTATGTACCTACTATATTTGATCAGCCTAATTAAAAAACAATTACAATACCATAAGATCAAATTTACAAAACGTCTTATCAAAATAAATATACCTAAATTTAATAATAATAATAATTTATTTATTGCAAGAATATGGTACTGACAAAAATGTGTAAGGTGGTACAATCGTAAGTTCGCATATTCTGCGACACAAAATGGCGAGCAAATTTGTCTTAAGGAATTTTACATTTTACATTATTAATCAAAGTCAATTCTTATATTATTTGTATCGTACATATCATTATTTTTAATGAATCGAAGAGTAGTGTTTCATTTAAAATAGATATCATAATTGTTTATGACAAAATATTATGTTAAAATCACAGTACACAAATACATTAACAAGTATTAATATACCTTTACAAGAATACCCATGTTATTGGTAAAACTACGAAAGTTCATTAGCTGTCACTTACCGCAAGTATGTCATCCAAGTTCCGGAATCCCTCAATAGTTTGGATGTTCGCGACAATAGCTATTTTCTTTCCTTTCTCGCCCATTATGCTTCTAAGTTCCGTAATTGCGTTAAGCGAGTAAGGCGCGACTATTACGTCTAACTGAAAGGAACACATACTTAGTCAACACAAGTTCGTGAAGTGCTGTGAATACTGCTGATTCATACTATTTGATTTTTAAATACCATTTTCCGAATACATCGTTTTAATTATATACGTTCTGCATCAAATAATTGATTGTGGTAAAATAAAAATATAAAAAAATATAAAAAAAAGTCAATGGCGCTACAACCTATTTAGGTCTGGGCCACAGATTTCTGTATCAGTTTCATTATAATTTGCCTATCTAATAGGCAAGTAGGTTATCAGCCTCCTGAACCTGCCACACGCCGTCGACTTTTTTGGTCTAAGGCAAGCTTTCCTCACGATGTTTTCCTTCACAATGTTGAATGTTAAATGCGCACATAGAAAGAAAGTCCGTAGGTGCACAGCCGGGGATCAAACCCAGCCAACTGCAATATTAGTTTAAGAACGTTAAATTTATATTATTATTAAATTCCAAATTGAAGTGCCAGTGCTGGTATAATAACCGAATCTTTATCAACGTTTTAGATATCAGCGGATCCTTTTCGAACTCACACAGCGGTTTGCTCGTCGTCTCTCAAATCAGTCGTGAGGCAGTCATTTTATGATTTGGCATTCTGAAAGGTGGAGCTTGTAGTTTATTGAATAGAATGCCAAATCATAAATGACTGTTCACGACTGATTTGAGAGCGACCGCCGATGCGAAAACCGCTGTGTGAGTTCGAAAAGTGAGTTACAGAATTGCAGGGCTGAACCTTTCATTAATTCAACTTAGTATCTACAGTATACTAAACTTACTTGATTACTAATAGCGATGGCAATATACTCTTTATCTCTATCCGAATAATTGGGCATGTCAAAGCTAACGTTTGGCACAAACACGTCTTTACACGACCCTAGAAAACCACCCCTTTCAATGTTGCACGTGAGTGTCGTCGCTGATATCACTTCCACTTTGAGCATTATAGTTTCATTGTCCAACAGCACATAGTCGCTTTTGTGTACTTGGTCCGCGAAATGCATGAAGTCTACGTAAATTGTGTATGTTGAACACCTATCTTTATATGTTTCATCTGTCGTCAGGCGCACTGTCTCACCCGTTTTTAATTCCACAGCCTCTCCGTAACTCTGGAAACGATCCAACAGTGAGAATTTAGACTGACTCACTTAGCTCGCAATCCATTAATCTTGTTAAGTCACTTAATATTCGGGGACTGAGTTTACTTGCTTTCGCCGCTCAGAATTCTTGAGTAATTTGTTATTGATTAAGCAACTTATTGTTAAGTGAAAATTGATATTAATGTCCGTGTTAAAGAGCTTTTGAAATTAAAAACTATATCTTATTGTACATATATGTATATGAAAGTACAATACAGAAGCGGTACGTTTATATTTAAGAGTAGGTACATTGTGAAAGAAGCAGGAATGCTTGATGAGAAGATAGTGGAAGGTCCGGATAAATCTATATATGTATAACAAAGGTATTCCCGTTAACCCATGAGTACACAATAGCACATAAGAATGATTATTGTTAAATGTTATTTTTTTTAATTTCTGTTAAAATATTTGACATATACAGTTTTGATAATATAAACCGTTAAAAGTTTTGATAATTTTGTGAGATTTCGCAAATAAAAGTAATTTTAAAAATAGCAATATACGTGCATTCAAGACCGATAATAAATAGGACAAAAATCTTTAGTTACATCAGCAATAATTCCAGTCCTAATTTTTTGTCCGCTCAACTTAATGCCAATCGCCAAAGGATAGTTTCTTCCCACCGCAGTGCTGTAGTTTTTCGCCGCCAGCCGCAGAAGCTTTATGGCCTCTAAGTGGTCATCTTTGGTCCCAAAGTTTAAGTTAAGGAGCGCCATGTTCATACCACTAGCAATCATTTTTTCTAAAACTTCTAAATCGTATGTTGCTCGTCCTAAAAGTTTGTTTTAATACTGAATTTAAGATAAAGATATGCTTATTACTGATAGTAATGCGTAATATGCGTCTTTTATCTTTTTTGCGACTGAGGCGCAAACTAGCTGTTGTGGTCTCTGGCAGAAGGACCAGCGATCTGGAACAGTCTGTTTCTGATTTCTTCAGAGCAAGGGCCAGTTACAACCACAACACACACACATTACACACTTAAAACGTACCTCGTTCTTTAAAAGACATTTTTTTTCATTATTATTATTTTATGTGTTTCTCTGTGTGTGTTTTGTTAGTAATAAATATTATGTCTATATCTAATACTATTCATATTTTTTTAAAGAATAAAATGACTGAGTAACTCAGTCAATGAGTGTAAAAATTAAAAACTTGTAAGGAAGTAATAATTACCTAATTTGTCTCGCAATAGACCAAAAATTACTTAAAAATGCTTTTTGCAAAAATTGTATACTACAAGTTCATATGAGGTTACACCTAATATATTATTGTTTTATATACTCCTGAATGCCATAAAACTATCAAATAAGGGTGAATTCCCGCAGCCCTATTGTGACGCACGACAAGCACATTGCAGCACCTAAAACTCTTATTAAATAATTCCTTTAGGTACAGATTAAATCTAAAATCATAACATATACTAAATAAGGTAAACCTATTTATCTGATTGGTTTTGAACTGAACTATCGCTTTCCGGTAATTAAGCCCAAATAAAATGCATTGAAACCTATTTGGCGCCGTATTTACCCATCGTAGCTATAATTCCAGTGAGTCGTTGGCAAGCCGGTGATGCGTTGATATCGAGATTGAGTACGTGATCCAGCGGGGTGTATGCATGAGACGCCGTAAGCTGCTGGCCGGGAAGCTCCATTGCATTGAACTGTATACAAATATGTCTTTATTTATTGTACTTGTATTAACTATTATTTGTTTTATAAAATAGTTTCACTTTTCTTGCGCTTTACTCAGAGTTGTCTTGACCTTACTAGTGTCAGCGCACTATGGAAAATCGAGGTCTGTTTCATATCAAAAATCGGTAAGTTTTTTATTTGTCAAGTAAGACGATTGAATTTTTGCTCACGCATAGCGTATTAAATAAGGCTTCAAATAAAGCTCAGGTGTTTTACTTTTATTAGAGTATGTCTGTATAAATAAAGGCCTTTTGACATGACACATTTTTGAAAGAAATAAATTTTAAAAGAATGAATACAACATATTCCAAACGAAAATCATGCAAAATGACTACATTATATTAAAGTTCCACTCTTATACAATTCAATATATTTTTTAAAATTGCGTAAATAATAATATTAGTAAAAACGATTTTTGATATGCTTCTACCATTTTCCATAGTGCACGGTCCAATCGGTTAAAGACGCCTCAAGATTCAAAGGTCTCCTAAGGAAACTGAAAAATTGTTCTACATTAATAATATATTTACCTCTCCAAGTTTAACATCGCCTTCAGTCGGCCACACCATGATTAAGAATATATTATAAATAACAACTATTACTCAAAAAATCTCTAGAAATATAATAGCAAAACGCATGTATTGAAAAGAAAGACCATTATAATTGTCATAATTTTTCCTTGACACAGAAGACACAGTTGCTATCACAGATTATAAGATCCAGTAGCGTCAACATTTTACGTTATTATTCACTGTAGTACCGTTAGTATAACTTTTAGTATAAGATCCCGATATACAACGACCTTCACCGAGATGCTTATTTAATGAAACGTATTTTATATTTAATTTAATATGTCAATAAATATAATCCATATGGGTTGCCTAGCAAATTTCAGTCCAGAGTATGTTTAATTAATATTTAAAAAAATTTTTTTTTTATAATTTGCATGTAGTAAATTTTTTTAATTTTTTCAATCAATATTTTTAATCAGGGTAGTATTATATATGTATCACTATAACTTTCTTTTTACTAAAGATGTATATATACTTTAGTGTCACATAAAAAATATACACATAAATAATTAATTGATTAAAAATAACCTAACGTTTGCATATTCTATGGGCTTCATACTTTCGATTCGTATAGAATTTATCTAATAATCATACCGGTGAAATGATTAAAAAAATATGTTTTTTTTAAGATTAATTAAAATACTCTGGACTGAAATTTGCTAGGCAACCCATATGGATTATATTTATTGACATATTAAATTAAATATAAAATACGTTTCATTAAATAAGCATCTCGGTGAAGGTCGTTGTATATCGGGATCTTAGACCATTTAGACCGAAAAGTTGGATCTCTCGGATTTATTCAGATATTTGTAATATCAAAATATTTTTGCATATCCATTGTAACAAGAAAGATTGCAAATTGGGTCAGTAGTTTTTAATTTTCAATCACCCAGTTTCGTGGGTTAAATTCGCAGTTTTTGCTATGAAGATTACATACCGTCGCTTAGCTAACAATACCGCACAAGTCATATTTTAGCCAAATGACGTTTTTTACACCATTCGATAGATTACTTTCCCGCGCGTCTAATGAGCTCTCGCTAGAGGTAATATCGTCCAATAAGAGCGCGTTATTCAAAAAACTAGTAACACAACACAACTCATTGGCTGCGCTAACACCGCGCAAGTCATCATAACGCCATAGTAATTTGGCCGTGCCACGTCGCACCTTATAAGATCGTTTGTCGTTTTTATAAAAGCGGATTTTTTGTAACGGACTGGCCCCACTGATGTAGTTTAAAGGTAAGGTAACTTAAATAAAACATAGTATTCATATTTTATCTATTAAAATACGTCATACGATTGCATTTAAAAACATGAATACTTAAGCGGTGTTGGAATGAACAGTTTCGTTGAGTTAGGCGGTTTTCTCTTTGCTTGGTTTCGATGTCTGAATGACTTACAATGTACTTCTGTGTTGAGTTTCTGACTGCTGTGGTATTCATCGATATAATTAGCGATTTTTACGCAGTTTTTTTAATGATTTCTATATCGTAATTATAATATATATTTTACTTCAGAACACGAAAATGGACAAAATGGTCGAATGATACCACGCCTGATGACTTTTCAAGAGTTGACGCTCAATGTAAAAGTTATTACTTTGCGTGACTTACAAAAGAGACATAGAGAAAAAATGTTATTAAATACATTGGGTATTAAATAATGGTTTGTCCGATACTGGTTGATAACGACAGATTGTGCTATGCCACCGCCTTCTGAGATTTCTCGGAATGTAGATTGCTCCAAAAAGAACTCTGATGGTCACGAGCGTCTACAGCAATTTTTAGATAGCCTGCCGAAGATGCCATCGTCTACTGTCGAGAAAACTCATCCAGACGATACCTAGAACCAGTATTTCATACCATGGCACAATTATACAAAGAATACGTCAGTAAATGCGAATTAGATTCCTTAAAATGTCTTAGTCGTAGGGTTTTTGACAATGTATTCTAAAACAGAATCTTAGTCTGTTTCATCCCAAAAAAGATCAATGCGATGTATGCTGTGGTCATAAAGTTGGAAATATAAACGATACTGAAATTGCAATACATCGCGATAGGAAAGACAAAGCTAGAAAAGAAAAAGACACTGACAAAAAATTGGCAATAGAAGGAAAAACGTGTCATGTATTTACGCAAGGTTAGTGCCATGTACTACAAGACATTTTATCTGTTCACAATTTTACCATGTATAATTTGTCAACACGTGAAGCTTGCTGCTACTGGTTCGATGAATCAAATGGCTCCCTTGAAGCTTCTGTTTTCGCATCGTGCATTGTGGATCAACTACAGATAATTTTAAATAGAAAATTACTACCGGTAATATTGTATTCTGATGGCTGCTGTGCACAAAATCGAAATTCCATCTTAAGCAATGCTCTTCTGCGTTTATCCATCGATAAAAAAGTTAAAAAAACTCAACAAATCTTAGAAAAAGGTCACACGCAGATGGAATGCGACTCTGTGCACAGTGCCATCGAATGTAGATTAAAGGGAAAAGAAATTTACCTTCCTTCCCAGTATGCGAATATAACAAAGACAGCTAGAGATAACCCAATGCCATATGAGTCTCGATTATTAGAATTCTCTTTTTTACCAATTTCAGTAAGGATTTAATTTACAAAACCATTCGTCCGGGCAGAAAATCCACTATTACCGATTTAAGGGTATTAAAATATAAACCAGATGGAACTATTTGGTATAGCTTAAACTTTGACGAACCTTTGCAGCCGTTGCCTCAGCGTCCAATGAAAATTACCAATGTTAAACCTTTAGAAGAGCTGCCGAAATTATTTTCTGAAAGACTGCCAATTTCCCAAAGAAAATATAAGGATCTCCAAGATTTAAAGGCAGTGATACCTTCGAACTGCCACTCATATTATGATGAGTTACCTTATAAAAATTAAATATTTTTCATTATTAGATCCATAAACATTTTGTATTATTTTTAGAAGTAGGTTAAGTATTCGAAGTGTTCTTATTGTCTTGTATTGTTTGTGTTAAATGTACCATTTTATTAAAGTTTTTGATAGTTTAGAATTATTAGAAGTCATGGAAAAAATTACCTAAATTACAAAGCAGTGGTTTGCTCTGGTTTCCATTGTAACTTAGATAATTTTATTGATCTCAGTAGGTAAGTAGTTGATCTCGTCAAACAGTACAGTCGTAAAAGTCAATGAGTTCCTATAATATATTATAATATTAGCGAACCCGGCAAGGGTTGTCCTGTTGGAATAAGAAAATAAAACGGCAAAGAAATGTGTTTTTTTTTGATAAAAAGCTAATTTAGCAATCTTTTTTTATTTTATTGAAGTTAATAATTAGTTTTATAAAACTGTTTTTGAAAAATGTTTTTATTTTGATAGTTTTTCATAGAAAGATTTTCTATGAAAGACTTATAGAGCTTAAAAATAAAAGGTAAAAACACCGCGTAAGTCTTTATTTTGTTAGAGTAAAACTGCTCAAGTCTTGAAAATTACCTAATAAGACGATATTTCTTTTATTTGTTTTTATAGTTATCATGCTTAACTAAATACAATATATTAAAATTTTTATCATGCATGTATTGTACAAAATGTTAAAGTAATACAGTTTTTTGTCTCTCCTGAAAACTAAGCAAATCTGACTTATGCGGTATTGTTAGCTAAGCGACGATACACAACATTTGAAGGCAACGCTGAAGAATTTTATATGAAACATTTTTATTCGTGAACAGTACAAAACGACATTCATACACAACTAATGTTTAATAGCTTTTGAATAACAAACGACGATCGGGCCTTTTTTTCCGTGTTTTGTTTTTACGACTGATTTGTGACCACAATAAAATTAACGAGCATATAAATAATTGAAGTTACATCATAATACATTAATCTTGTACAATAGCTTTTTACAAAAAGCGCAGTGTCCTGAATTTATCATTAAAATCCTACCATAGGTAAATAAAATTACCGTAACAATAATTCCAGTTTTACAGTGCATGCATAGTTTCAAGTCCTCTATCGTCAAACCCTACCATATTTTCTAACCCTTCAAGAACTAAAATTATATCATTTTCGACAGTCAAAAAGTAAAAAATAAATATTGTTTTATGTTACTTGCAAAACAAGTTTAAACACCTTAAGTTTCAATAATTAAAGGGCGACTTATCTTTTCATCTTGGATGTCACAAATTCAGCTTAACCGTGGCGCAAACAAAAGGCAACGTAAATAAACAAGTCTTGCAAAAATAAACAAAGGCTTGTTTTATTTGTGGGAAAACCATTAGGGGATCAAAACGGGGATTGAGATAAATAAAAAAATAGGAAAACTCGGCCGCTCCAGAGGGTTACCCTTGACAGGGATAGCTACAAATCTTTACGCTGTGAATTCGAGAACAAATCAAATCTTCCATGTAAAAGACAATAGATTCGGAACCTTTATAATTGAGGAAATATTCTCCTTTTTCTGTAGGCTAGTTTTGTGTTCCCATTAACATAACTAGTATCAACAATCTGTATGAAACGTATTACAATATCTAGGAACCCGGTACCTTCCCTATAATCGGTATATTAAACATGTACATGATGAGCTATAGTAGTTATAAGATTTATAGATTTGATATTATTAGTTGGCATCTTCTGTTATTAATTATATTTTTTCACTAAATACTAAACATTGATGCAGATCACGCATTGTTGGTGTGCTATAAATTCAGTGTTCTATACATATGTTTATATATTATAGTTAGATAGCTGGTAAAACGCAGCTTCTCTTAGCTTTATTATTTGTTTAATAAAAAAAACATAAAATAAAGATTCTTTATTAAAACATTAACAAATAACAAATTCAAATTTATTTGTAAATTTACTTTTGCCTCAAAATTAGATAATATTCACTCAGGACACCTGTAAAAACAAGATTTTAATGAAAAAGAGTTAATCTCTTTATTTTGATTGTTGATTCATACAGACTCAGCGCGAATTATGACTATTTTGATATACGTGACTGAAACTTACAACAATGGTTCTCATCGTTTAAGTTTACTTGATAATAAATAAATAATTAAACAAGTTCATCAATCATACAATTCTTTCACTGCGTTATTATTAATAAATGTAACTAATCGGGCTTTGAGTTTTGTAGCTGAGTTGCTAAGCTGATTAGGCAACTAATTAACAACTATGAATTTGGTTGTAATACTGTTTCCTATATTGCTAGTGATGGTATAATTTCACTTACTCAACCAAGAGTTTCTTTGTAATGCTGACTTTCCATACTCTGACCATATCGCAAAAAGAGCTATCTTCGGAGCCCCTTTGTAGAGTTATATAAAAATCACCATATACTACGTAACCTCGCTGCACCATGTATTCTATAGCAAAGTGTATGCGGTCCTCAAGAGCATCTTCCCAGGTTTTTCCTGCTGATGTCCGGCTTTCTGCCAATAAATAGCCTACGGTTAGTACGTTTCAACTAACATTTTTTTATGTAATAGAAGGCAAACACGCAGAAGGTTCCCCTGATGTTAAGTGATCAGGACACTCACATTGCCAGATGTCTCGCAAGTGCGTTGCCGGCATTTTAAGAAATGGTACGCTCTTTTCTTGAAGGACCCTAAGTCGAATTGGTTCGGAAATACTTCAGGCAGCTGGTTCCACATAGTGGTGCGCGGCAAAAATTGCCTTAAGAAACGCTCAGTTGTGAGATGAGGTGATACGGATGGTATTTTGTATTCTGCGGTGACGTCCGATGATGAAACTCAGCTGCAGAAATTGTCTCAACTCACGTTTTTTTTTAGATTTTATATTCACTTACAAATACAGACTTCTCTAATCCAAATTGAATATGATAAAGTTTCACTTAACTAGTTACTTATAGATGTTAAAAGTTTTCTTATATAATTGCTACTTTGTGGGAAATAAAAATGATTAAACCAAATTGCTACGAATTGAAATAAAATATAATCCCGTACCATTAAACCCCTCTTAACTTCGAGATACCAATAAAAATGTATTTAAATATTCATCACCGATCAATTCACCGCTGATAAGTTAAACCTATATCAAAATTTAAACAGATATTATTTGATAGACAAATATCTCGATGTTTAAAATCAGGTGTGTTGATTGGTTTAACTAAAATGACTTTGATTGTATTTAAATTGACACGATTACAAATAGGTGTTTGAATGGAAATCTAGATTATTATGGCAAATTGAAAAAAACGTGTGTGTACTTATGTACACGCGTTAATACTTCTTTGGGGTAACAAGAAAAAAATCTTAAAAAAATTTTATTCTACGTACGTAGAAAAAGCGACACTAAAAATAGAAAAACCTAAAATGTTGACTATAGCTAACTTCAGGGTGTCGGTTTTCTGTGACGGTGTGCGCGCGCATCGTAGATATTTACTCTCATCATTTTTCTCTAACGCGCCAAAAGAAGTATAACTTCAAAAAACTTAAAATGACGTGAATTATAGTGAAAATGATTAATTATTCATATAGGTAACGCTATGTACACTAATTATGAACGTCAAAAAAAAAAAATGAAATGCTTAGTCATCATTATAAACCTTTAAACATCAGAGGTAAGACGCTCCTGTAGGTATGTAACAGCCGGAACACATGTATCTTAGTGCTAACTGCAATAACAATACATGACGGTCTCATACAGTGTAAGGCTTTGACGGTCTTCCCGGAGACAGTGGGCAATACAATTAGACGCGCATTCGTTTGATTCGCAACTAGTGCACATGACATCATTGCCGCTTCTGCAGCGTTAACTGGGACTTTGATCTGGAAATAAATACACAAAATGATACAATACATAATTTTTATGTATAATATAGGTTTGGCCTGAAGTAAAGATTTAATATTATATATCTCGGTAAGGTTTTGAACACGTTTTGAAGGGACTGGGAGCCATAATTTTATTTAAACTTTACCGATACTTATAATAATATTACAATATTTTAATATTATACTACTTTTGTAGTGCGGGTACTCATTCGTTACGAGTATATTGTGCCCTTTCTTGATGTGTATAATAAATATTATATATTCATAAATTTAAAATATTCACAATTTTAGAATTTTGTCTTGTTTTTGTGAGCTAAAAAATTGTATAAAAGATTACATCATCCAGACTCCTCCAGAATCCTCTTCGACTTGTAACTAGTGGTTCAACAAAGTAGCATATTTCATTAATCGCATACAATACCTCCAAAGCGTGGGTGACGTTGAAGCAGTCCCTGTGTTTAAATTGCATCAGAATTTTAACATGTGGCCGTTACTATCTTGCGAGATAGCTGATTTATTTACATCTTATTTATTTACATAGTTAGGGGGTATAATAATAAGTTTATAAAACGGTAGTAGGGAATTAAATGCCCGATTTCTGAACCACAATTTTGAGGCACAGGGAAAGGCGTGTAATTGGATTTATTGTGAACTTATTTAAATATTTACTTTAAGCTTCAGGATTCATAATATGTATTTTCCGGTACTATAGATAAATAAAGCAGACATTTTTGCGTCTATTATAGTGTTAACTTTTAACACGTTGCAAGACTTTGTATGGCAACCTGGAATAGTTATTTTTGTCGATAATCGTTTCCAACTTGAATGCAATTGTTTTAATTATTCTTTTTAATAGATACACAATCGATCGGTTTTACACAAATAACACGAATTCCAAAGAAACTGCGTGTTTTTTTAAAGTGTTATATCTCACATAATATAAAAAAATTCATAGTATACTCACATTAAAATAACTCAATCTTAATATAACTTTATTCTTATAGGTACACTTATGAACGTCAACAGAAATGATGTTAAAATAGATTCTAAATTTACAATTACTACCAGTTCACAAGTCAAAGGTAATAAACTCTCCGCCACTCTTTTTAATCGGCAAGTTTTGAGTAATACAAATTGTTTGAACTGGACTAACTATCTTAATAGATAGCAAAACAAAAAAAGTACAAGAAAGAAAAAAACAACAACAAATAAACTTGACCGATTAGACGCAGTATTTATACTCAACTATGTATGTATAAAGAGATGTGTAACTGACCTACATTAAGTTTTTATACAAAAGTGTATAATTAGTATACCTGAGTATAAAACCGCTGACTCCATCCATGATTGCATTGACAACATCGGATATTTCGCTGTCATGAAATTGACCACTATATAAAGCCTCCCTGAACAATCCACCAGATAAATAAAATGGTTTCCCCGCCTTTGAACAAATTAGTTTTAATTAAACCATAGCGGTAATCCTTTGAAGATTAAGATATTTAGATTATGCTCTGAATTATTATATGAATACCGTAGTAAATAGGAATGTGCCTTGATCGTATACCGGACGCCTACAAATACGAAACAGTTATTGTTCTCAGAATCGAATCGATGAATGCCAGGTAACATCATATCACTAAAAGCTTAAACCTTAAATGTTTTAAAACTTTGATTTGACCCAAAAGGTCATGAGTCTAAATAAAAAAAATAGAGAATATATAACCTTCAAACATTTTCCACCTATCCATTTCTGTATGTGGGGCAGTCGATATTTTTCCGAAGCCTCAATTTCGAACGGTAAAAACTCTCTTGAAAGTATTATACCGTCTGATTCCTGCAAAGTTCAATAATTTTAGTTTTTATGATTTGTTTACTATTCGTATTGGATTAAATAAAACAAATTATTTATGAATATCTTAAAATCTATGTTAGGTTTACGCTTTGCTGAAATTACAGTACGAGAAATTAGAACCATAAAAAAAATGCAAACGGTTTTTCTTTAAAAAAATTCGGAATAGGCTCATTATATACAGTGCAACCTTACTGTAGTAAAATATCCCTTTACATTACGAACCACCTCTTTAACCGAACTTTCAACTATCAAGAAAACGTATAAATACCTCTAAGGCTGCTGCCTCGAATTTTGCGGGCAGCGGGGCGGCAGCGGCGGCGGCGCGGGAGCGGCAGGATCTTATGCGTAAAATCAAATGGACCGGTTCTCAAAAACAGCGGCGTGGCAGCGGCGCGAGGGCGGGTAACGAGAGATGCAATCGCCCGCTCCCGCGCCGCAGCCGCCGCCGCCCCGCTGCCCGCAAAATTCGAGGCAGCAGCCTAACTAACGACTTTAGTCAAAACCTTTATATAAAGTTCCCACCAATGTATGACTCTAAATCTCATAGTGTAAAACAATTATTTCAGATATCTCTTTATAACGAATTTTAGACCAACCTAACTTCAACATAACAAACCTCCGTTCAACGAATTATTTGATATAACGAATCTTTACTTGTTCCTTTCCAATTTGTTATATCGAGGTTGCACTGTAATAAGCGTTACCTTTTTTGATAATTTTATACTGTTTTTAATTTTGTGTTCTTTCAATATTTATTTTCATACACCTTATAGCTATGATATATAAGGAATATTCATGTCAAGTTCTATCATCCCCGAGTGAGGAAACAACTCATGTACACCGAACGTTCTAAGTTTGTGACCTCAAACTTGTTACTTGATAGCAATCGCTGTCTTGCAAGAACGTAGAAATTCAGAATTTTGGTTAGAATTAATATATTTTGTAATCCAAAAACAGCATAGGGTCGATTTCCGAATCAATATTATTTTTAGGAGATTATTTTTTTTGTAATTTAAAGGCAGTATAAAACATTATATATAATAAGAAATGTCTTCCTGAAGAAATCTTAAAATAAGGAGCTGTGTAATCAATTTTTGTAGATTTTCAAACAAATAGCATTGCCTAGTGGATTCGCGTGCAAGTACTGAGCTTAAGTTTCTGCATTCATACTCGTGAGTATGAATATCACAAATGTGTATTTGTGTAATTAGGAGCTACTTAAAGCATTAGCTAAAGATTAAAATAACTTCACAATATATCCAACAAAACGACTTTTCCCGTGCATCCTCAAATTTGTGGTTGTGAAATCGAGCATTAAATTTCCTACCAACGTTGTACAGAATTATAATCATACAAATATAACTATAGTTCTATAGAACTATAGATATGAATAAATGGGGAAATAAGAAACATTGAGATCTATATCTGACTAAAACAAAGACAGACTGGCAAATTAAATATAATTGTTAGCCAAGATCAGCGTGCACATCCCAAGCCCGAGAATATGGATTCAAACTCCGCCTCCAATTGAGTAATGATCTTTTTCTGTGTGTAACTGCTTGTAAGATATATAAATTAATAGCGATTTGTTTATCGTTAATTAACTTAATTCACCTTTATAATATCATCGATATTTTTTAACCCATCTTCAGTACAGATACCACAAAATATTAACGGTCTCGTAGTCTTGCCAATAAACTTTTTTATTTCCCTCAAAGTCTCCACTTGTCTAACGTAGTTCACAATTATCATATCAATCTAAAATCGGAAATTAGTGAAACGGTTTTCTTAAAAAAGTATTTATAATAAAGCAGATTTTATATCAAAAATTTATGTTAAAATATTTTTGGCTTATAGTGAAATGTATTAAGCTAATAAAGAGCAGTGTTGGCCTAGTGGCTTCTGCGTGTTACTCTCATCCCTGAGCTCGTGGGTTCGATCCTAGGCCATGCACCAATAGACTTACTTTATAAATGCGCAAATGACAAATGATTTTGAAACAGATACAGAAATCTGAGGCCCCGATCTAAAAAGGCAGCGTCACTGATTTATTTTAAGCTGATAAAAAACGTCAACAAAGTAGTATTATTACATTTAATTATTAGTTACATTGCATGAAACAATTGAATTTTGATAACACAGAAATATTGATAAATACGTACTTGATACCTCAATGCAAACTTGACAATATCCAAATCTTTCTTCGTTATATATGGTTGGGTGTGTTTCACTCCTCTCGCACATACATTACATACATTACTCAAGTTACCTCCTTTGACAACTAAGCATTTAATACGATCGCGATCAATCACAGTTTCGCATTTTAGTATTATCTCATTGGATCCAATAGATATTTCTGTTCCCGGTACAATATCTTTGGATAAGGTTGGATTATCAACGAATATCTTTTTCTCATTACATTTATTCAGTTCGCATGGATTGCACGTCAAAATAAGTCGTGTGCCTTCTTTAATGGGAATAAAATCTGCATTCTAAAATTATAGGTGATAAATAAGCTGATTGTTAGAGTTCTACTTATTAGAATTATATTTTATTAAAACAATGGGGATGGCGTATGGAACGTGATCAATATTGCGTACCACAAAGAACGGTTTGGTGGCCGTGGAAAGGCACACAATTGTCAGTCGGAAGGATAACAATACAATTAGTAAGGGGATACTGAGAGATTAGACTAAATGTAAAGACAAAATACGCACAAACACTCATTATGATATTATTAAATTGACGTCGTAACTAATCAATAAAAATAGCAAAAATCTAATCAAATTCTAAATGCATCTAATAAAAAAATAAAAATAAAATATGTTTATTATGGAACATAAGATACATGTATCACTTATTCCACGTCATTAAATTTGAACTTTTAGGCATCCCTACTCATCGGCAAAGAAGACAGAGGGTGTAGGCCGAGAGAAAAAGGCGGCGTAAAAAACTCTCGGTACTCTTTTAAAACAGTAAATCATCAAACAACACTTATTTAAAACAAATATCCCAAATTAATTAGAAGTAGCCTGTCTAGCACTAGTCCCAGGCCCTTTTATCAACTAGATAATCGTTGACTTTATAGTAAGCCTTTTTACACAGCTTTTCTTTAATACATTTCTTAAATTTATTGAAAGGCAGAGATAAAAGAGCCTCTGGGATTTTATTAAAGAAGAGTATCCCTTTCCCCAAAAAAGAATTACTAACTTTAGATAGTCTAGTACGGGGAAATTGTAGCCTGCGTTTGTATATATATTTGTATACACGGAGTATTAACATTGTGCGTATGTTCTATTCTAGTAAACTTATCACTATTTTTGTATACATACATAATATTTTCATAAATATATTGCGAGGGAAAGGTGAGTATTTTAATATCCTTGAATTTATCTCTAAGAGATTCCCTACATTTTAAATTATAGATTGCACGAATAGCCCTCTTCTGCAGGATGAAAATAGTTTCGACATCAGCAGCATGACCCCATAATAATAAGCCATAAGTCATTAAGCTATGAAAGTAACTAAAATAGACAAGTCTAGCTGTATCGACATCAGTTAGTGAACGAATTTTTTTAACCGCGTAGGCTGCAGAACTAAGTCTCTTCGCCAATCCGTTAATATGAGGGGACCACTGAAGTTTTGAATCCATGGTGATTCCGAGAAATACAGTTGTATCATCCAGATTCAATTCCTCACCGTTTATAATTGGTCTAGTATCCATAACCCTTGCATTTTTTGCACAAAATTTAATGCATTTTGTCTTTTTTGCATTAAGTAGAAGGTTATTCATACTAAACCAATGGACAATCGAAGACAGAGCATTGTTCACATCGTCAAAATTTGTTATTTGTCGTTTGATTTTAAAAATCAAGGAAGTGTCATCAGCAAACAAAACTATCTGATGTTTTCTCTCTACCATGAAAGGTAGATCATTTATATAAACAAGAAAGAGGAAAGGGCCAAGAATTGAGCCCTGTGGTACCCCCATATCTACTGCCGACCCAGAGGACCTCTTACCATTCACTTCAACCTTCTGAGTTCTTCCGTGTAAATAGGAAGTCAGAAGATTCAGTGCGGTATTCTTGATGCCATAGTGGCGGAGTTTCCCGATTAAGGTCTCGTGTTGGACACAATCAAATGCTTTAGATAAGTCGCATAAAACACCTAAAGCATCATGCGACTCCTCCCAAGCCTTAACTATATATCTATATAACTCAACACCGGCATCGGCTGTCGAGCGACCCTTGGTAAAACCGAACTGATTTTTATGTAATAATTTGTTTACGTTAAAATGACTTACCAGTTGATTTAATATAATTTTTTCAAATATTTTACTACAAGTAGGTAGTACGGAAATTGGTCTAAAGTTACTGGGGTCGGACATACTACCTGCTTTAAATAAAGGAATAACTTTACTATGTTTCATTAGATCGGGAAACTCGCCACTTTTAATACAATTGTTGAAAATTATAGCTAGATGGGGAGCAATTACATCAATTATGCTACTAATTATTTTTACAGAAATACCCCAAAGATCGGTAGTGTTCTTAATATCTATGGTTCTAAATATCCTCACTATATCGTCGGCACCAATGGGTCGGAATGAAAAACTGACCTTGCACTCGTTTACATTATCTTTGAGCAGCGATTCGGCGAGGGCGGGAGATGATTGAAGAGACTTAGTAGTCGAAATTGGAATGTCAGAAAAGTACTTATCAAAAACAATCGCTATCTCTTCGTTAGATTTGATTATAGTGTTATCGACACATAGTTCGATGTCTTGATTGCGATCCCTGACTCTTCCAGTTTCACTATCAATTATCTTCCAAGTCATTTTAGTTTTATTGGTACTATTTTTAATCTTGTTTTTGATATTTAAGGACTTGGCCGCGTAACAAACTTTCTTAAATAATTTAAAATAATTTCGAACATAAAGAATAAATTCTTCATTATGATTGTATGACTTTTCAGCGTAAAGGTCATACAACCGTTGTCTACTTTTATAAATTCCCGCTGTCGCCCAATCACTAAACGATTTACACTGCGAATGAGAGACTTTCTTTGGGGTAAAGATGGTGTTGAACTCTTTATTAATACAATCACTTAGATTGTTGTATTGTGTATCAACGGTAGTACCTACCGGTAATAAAGGTAGGTGTTTACCTATATTATGTCTAAATCTCACCATTCGCTTCATATCTACCAAGCGAAAGTAAGTAAATCAAATGTGACGATCGGCCGAGTTAAAATATTATGGATCACGCTCATCAAAATTTATAAAATAAAAAACACGTAATTTGAAAATAATTTAAAAGGGTCATTTCCTACTAGGAAACCTAAAACAATTACGGGTCTGGTATTAACGAGTTTTTTTTAAAAGCTTAACATTTTCAGTATTATACAAATGTATAATGACATCATAAATGTGTATATAATTGTGGTATTACTGCACCTTACATGCAACAACCACAACACTCGCTTAGTGATCTTGTCTAGCGTTATTTTGCAATAATTTGTCATATATTGACGACTCATTGGTCTAGTGGTTAGTACCCCTGGCTGCGAATCCATGGGTCCCGGGTTCGATCCCCGGCTGAGACGAACGTGAGTCTATGTGATGAGCATTTGGTGTTGTATTTAGGTCTTGTGTGTTTAAATATGTATTTATATGTCTATCTATCTATAATATGTATGTTAATCCGTTGCCTAGTACCCATAACACAAGCTTCACCAGCTTAGCATGGGACTACTAGGTCAATTGGTGTTAATTGTCTTTAAAAAATAATATATATATTAATTGTTTAAGATCATTAAGTAGATCCTATCATTGCATCTGGATTCGAATGAGCCATAATAAAAAATATGTAATGTAAAACGTTTCCTTACACTTTCAAGCAAGCCAGTCTTAACAATACAAGTCTTTAGTTCAACACAGGACGCAACAGGCCAATCAAGAATGCCAATTTTGCGGCAACACGCCATTGCTGCTTTATCTACTCTCCCAAGGAGTCGAATTCTGTCCCCTCTGGTCGTGAACGACATTTTGAATTTTACAATATTCATACCTGCCTCTAGCAGTTTTTGTATTTCTACAGTTGCTATATCGGTGTTCGCTAAAATATTAAATAACTATAATTAAAAATTAATATCTATACTAGTATGGCGTTTCCAATTTTGAATGTGTAAAAATATGTTATCTGATTAAAGTTTAGGGCTGAATTTAAAAAAAAATACTTAAACGCGTTTTCGGAAGCAAAAATCACTTGGAGGTGTTCCAATGAAGGTCCCCCGAGACTCCTGCATAGTTAGTATCATCATATTCGTGCGACGAAATTCAAAACTCTTACCAAAGTTTATTATCAACGATACAAATTAGACAAAGAGGGACCTACTACAAACGAAACACGAGAAACAGTCTGTTAATGTAAAAATGTCTAATTTTTCTAAAAAAAAAAAGAATGAAGGTAATGCTACGAAAATATAAATGGGTTACTAACACAGCGTAACAATAATTGGAGTTCTTCTAAAACGATTACTTGGTCGATCCAATATATCAGGATCGCTAATGTCCACATCAGCAAATTCAATCTTTTCTGGATACTTTTCAACCATTTTTCACGTTACTTTGTAAATTATTTTATTAACAATAAAACGCTTACAAAATTCTGAAAGGCAAAGTGTCAAACGCCCATAGAGTAGTTAAGACTCAAGAGTAGGTAAAGACACAGTTACAATTAATATTTATAATCTGTGCATTAAACGAGTATTTTTAGTTTACCATAGAGAAGTGAACCAATAACTGCATGGGCTTCTTCTCATTTGTATATTACTATTTCTAGTGATCCTTTGCAAACAATTTTCGCATCACAAGACTGGTTTAAATATATTGCGTAAATGAAAGCCATTGAAGGAGGTAATGTCTTAGCGCATTAGCAAGCACAGTCAATTGTTATCAATGACAAAAACCACAGATTTTGTAATTCTTACGCCAAATAACTATAGAACATTCTATTGCAGAGCGGTGATTGATTAAAAAAATAATATAATATTGTAATCGTTTTTAAGAGAAGTAATAAAATAAAATGTTGTAAAAATACCTACCCATCTAGCCATTCAGCTAACAGTTTTCCTCTTCTGTTACATTTATCAGAAACCCAGTAGAAACGGTGATATTAAAGTCACCTTAAAAGATGGATGAAGTTGATTAACGAGACAATTTCAATAATTTGTAATTTGAGGATTGTAATAATAAAAATAGCTATGTACAAATAATTAAATTTTTCAAGGCTATATGTAAGTTGAGTTGAAAGCCATAGCCCGAAATCACCTGCATCATGAGCATACCCCACATACACACCTTACCGTACATACCCTCACTCTTACACCATCACACATCACAGCCAAATTAGGTATTACTTAATTAAATGTATTGAATATTTTTTAATGGTTCTTCCCTTTTGTAAATGTTTGAACCTTTTCGTAAATATTATGTATTTCATCTTTGGCTATATTTTTAATGTAATTGTTTTATATATATTTTTTTTGTTAGCTGTAGGATTACGAAATAAATAAATAAAGGAGCTGGGCCAGTTTATTATCTTTCCTATTTCTTTTTATTATTGATATTTTCTTAATAACTGTAACACTGAATAACATTGTATAACTTGTTTATATTTATGCCAGAAATATATTTATCACTGTCTTCTTAGTGTTTCAATTATAGTATGTAATTGATGTTTATGTGGTCGTCAAAGAACTTAATATGAAAAATAAAAGAAACTATATGGCAAGCTTAAATAAGAAAATAAAAATTATGTGAAATTGTGACTCGAAAAGCATTCACTTAGTTTAAGTTAATTGTAAATGAGTACAATAACTTATTTAACTTTTCAAAACTGGATGCCGGGATTTGGCAAATCTATAGATATGGCGAACAGCCAAATTCACAGCGCGTTATACTTTGCGCACTTTTAGCGCCAAAAGTTACGTTTGTCTTGTCACATTAAACATTTCAAAATATTTGAAATTGTATTGTGAATGTAAAATGTTTTTGTCGCACCTTCAGAATAGTACAGACTATCTCAAAAAATCATTATTTTGGGAAAACAAAAATGAAGTTTAGAATCTGCAAACTTTCAACTTTGAAGTGATTTAATTAATTAATTTTGTATGAAAACAATCAATTATTTGATTTCTGTATTAACTTAAGTATATCTTTTGTGAAATATGAGCAAAAAAATAGTATGTTGCATTATTTTTAATTAAAATTAAGGTTTTTTAAAAGGTCCCAATTTAAGTCAGTTATACTGAAACTGTTTTTTTAAAAGACCGTTTTCGTTTAGGTCTCTTTTATTCTGAAATCATTGTACTGTTTTTGTCCTATTTATGAAAAGTGCACTACAAGTATAAACTGAAAATATGCTGTCGTGTCACATAAGGAAATAAGTCATATATATTTAAAAAATCTTTGAAATTATACACTTTTTTATTTTTAAAAGACTTATATTAAGTCACTTTTGGTACAGACAATAAACCTAAAATATCAAAAAACTTTAATTAATATAATAAGAGTGTGCAGTACGGCAATGTTATGCATAGGTGCATAGAATGTACTTATACCTATGTAAATAAATTGAATCATAACAAAAATAAAACTCCTTAACATGTTAACATTTTAAATAAATCAATACTTTTTTAATACAGTGCTATTTAAAACTAAAAACTAAAACCTATAGCAGAAGAGCCTGTTATACTTATAAAAAATAATTATTAAATAATGTTATTATAAAAATCAGCATAATAATGAGGTATCAGATTATGTTCAATCAAGGAACGTAAGTCAGTTTTTTTCCTCTCAGATAACACCAATCTTTGGGAGTATGCTTTGGTCATAGCAATTTCTCTTATATCACTCATCTTCTTCCTTTTGTTTCTCATGTTTACCTTGTTGAACTCATTTGACTATAGATGTCTTGTAAAACGTAAACGTATCATCTTTCGTAAATTTAAGAATTTTTACATATCCAAGTCAATTGGCTTTATTTTCATTTTCACTAAAGTTATAAGCAAATTTCTCTTGAAACATCTTAAGTCCCAAAAAAATCATACGTTAATTCTTTGAACAATCAACGGTTTTCCGTTTTTTCGCGAATTTTTATTAAAGTGACGTATTGACAAGGTGCGTATATGGGTCCAGCCTTTTTATTCCGTTGGATTTCCTTTTCAATGAGGCTGTGGACGTTGTCCCCTTCATTTTGGGAGACCCTTTATTAGGTATTTTGGGTTATAGACTGATTCTCAAAATGTGATACTGTAGGAATATAAGCAAGCTACATATTTATTTTTGTTTTGTCCGCAGCAATTATCGGAATAAAACGTAACGTGAATGGCCTGACCCTGATTCTTGCATTTAAAATCTCCAAATAATAAGAACACACGACCGATCTCGTGATCCGCTTCCTGAGTTTCGTCCCAGAAAAACTGTAGACGTCTCCAATCCATAGCACGTTTGTGTAACTTCTGTATTTCCTCCAAATTGTTGTCTCTTTCCTTTGATTGACGATTGTAAAGTTGAGGCAATTCAGTTTTGTTTTGTAATAGAATGAAGACGAATCACCGTAGGACATTGCATTACTGCTTGCAGGTCGAACATGCACAAATATGGGTTTCATCAATGTTGAGTCGATCATTATGTTTCTCTTTTCGGGATAAATCTTTTTCTTTTAAATGACGATCATATTTTTCTTTTAGTTGTATTTTTTCTGGAGAAACTAGTTCATAATTATTCAAAACATAGGTCGCATCTGTCTTTCTTGGGTTGGAAAAATCCAATATTAAACTCTTTTGTGAAAATGTCATAATATAACCAATATTCACATGTAGCTTTTCTTGAGTCGCGTTGATTTTATCAAAATCTCTCCAAAGATCCATTTCTCTCCACCTATATTCGCGAGAAGTGAAGACCTTAAATAATGCGATTCAATCTTGGTATCCAATTAATGTGGTTCTTTATATCTTGTAGGTTGCTGGTTCTATCCTTGTCTATTCTGGTTTTTACCTCGGTTATTTTCTCTATGAAACCTTGCGATTGTCTTCTTTTTAACATTTTTATTTGCTGTCACATATACCTAACGTGTTTATAAAAAAGTTTTGCAAACTCTAATTTTAGTATCATTAACTGTAAAATAAATGCAATATTAGGCTGTTTGGTCTAGCTGCATTTGTGTATTTAATTTTGGTTTTACTTCTATCATGCAATTTCTAACAAAAGATCTCTGTAATTCTACGTTTCCTAGTGCCCAATATTTTTTAAATATAGATTTCTATCGATCTCATTTATGTTATCGACACATTTGACTCTACATTTGCTGGTACATGGATCTTTTATTGAACGAGCAGGAACAATTTTTTTAGATTTAGTGTTAGAAACATATTCTTTCCCAGTATTTCGCAAAGTTTTTGCAACAATTTGTTTCCAATTGTGGGTTTCGTGACGTTTGCGGATTTTTTGGACCTTTCACAACAGAAGCATTAACATTTTCGGATGCTGTAGTATCAGAAGAGGAACTACTCGACGCAGATACTCTGACTGCACCCCAAGACGTGAACGAGCTCTATTTGAAACGAAGGGTCATCGCCACTCAAGTCTGCATCACTTTGTTCGAATGAATAGGCACTCACAATAATTTTAGTGGTTTGTAGTTTACGATAGCCTGTAGAGGGAGGGTTCACCTAATTGTCGACTCAATTGTGTTACCATTATGGAGCGGGCGTTAGCGATGGAGGAAGATGAGCACTTGAGCTAGAAGACGAGGAACTGCTGACGATGACTTGCTGCGAGCTCGCCTAGGCAGTTCATTTTCTAGTTGGTTCGTCCCTGTGTACATTTCAGAATGTCCACTTCATCTGCCACAGGTTCTTAAATGTAACATTTTAAAATGAATATTAGTTAAAATTATGTAATATGTGTCAACATCAGTGTGACTCTAATTTAGATACTACGTACACTATTTAATAAAAAAACATTAATTTATTTACCGTTACAATGATTTTATGTGTAGTTCTATTGATCAGATTACCTGAAAGCATAGATTATTAAATAAGTGAGTATGCAATTTATTTCATGGCATTAAATAATGATTTACGTATGAGGGACCAACCCTAGGTTGTTCCTTTTGCCATCGCAAGTTGTGTGCATGATTTGGTAACAGCACTATTTTTTCAGGTGTGCCTTTATATTGATGGACTAGATGGCCGAGAGGTAGTTTAACTCATTCTGTAAACATCATAACCACTATTAACCTTCTTAAAGCTGGGTGTACCTACTTACCGTACCTACTTAGTTATAAAACTAATAAGAAAATTATGGGAAAAATAAAAATTAGGAAAATACATTAACATTTGTTCCTGAGTCAACTTTCGTTTTCTTTGCTCAATAGAATGAGGAATGTTCTCTTTATTAATTTCATCCTGTAACGATAAAGCACAAAAACATAAACATTTCATATCCTACTTACTGTGATGCATTTCCGTAAAAACAATATCTAATAAATAGAAACAAGAATAGGTAAATAAAATTACAAGCCGCGTCCGGCGTCACTAGATTTCCGCAT